GTGGCTCAGTGGCTACTGGAGTCCTGCTGGGTAAAAGGGGGATAGCACAAGAAATTCAAAGAAATTCCTTTGAAAATCTTTGAATCTGTCTTTTGCGAAGCTCCATCGTCCACTTGAATAAAACTCATCGTCCACATGAATAAAACCACTCTTACTGGGAAGAGTGGTTGCCACCACAGCCTGTGAAACCTCATTGTTCATTCAGAACAGAAAAGGCTATCAACAAGCCCTAAACAAGGGGCTTTAAACCCAAGGTCAGCAACCTTCGGCCACCAAAATCCGAGAATTCTGAAAGTTGTATGACCTGCAAGAAACGGCACACTTTCCTATGCAGAGATCACAGCTTTTATCAGATTCCCCAATGCAACTGTGACCTTTCAGAAGCTTTAGTACCAATGTCCACGTTATTAGAATGAATACTGCCCAGGCTCAACAAGAACAAATAAGTTTAAAAATAGAATTCTTGCAGACCTCTGACTCTACCGAGTTCTCAATAATCTTGAGATCATTTTGTTAAAAAATCCTACTTACGACCGTTCGTATTTGACAGATGAGCAAACTAACAATCTAAGGAAATGAAGTTAATACCCCACCTAAGTAAAAGTTACAGGTTTGTGGGCCAGAACCAAACATACAAAGATTACTTAGTATTGATGGCCTCTGTGTCCTAAATGACACATCATAAATAAAGATCAAGGCTCAAGCCGGGTGTCAGGCACTCTACATACATGACTTACTTAGACACCATAACAGCTCTGCAAGACTTTATCTCATATTTTGATTTGAGGAAACCAGGACTCTGAAAAGTTTGATGCGGTTGCCAAAGATCCCAGCACTGAGAAGTATCATTAATGAGATCCGACTCCAGGGCTGTCTGATTCCCAAGTTTTGCACCAGAAGACACTCTAAAACTTGGATCCCCAGAGGAGGACTCATCTTCAAGCCAGGGACAGTTTCTTAGACATCTTTGTATTCCCCACAGCACTTTTCATGGCAAGGCACTCCATAAATATTTGTGAAGAAACCTGGGCTTGGACCCCAGTCCTGCCCAGGACTTGCTGACTGGAGTTGCAGGTAGCTCCTCAGCTGGGCCACTTCAGGGAACATTTGAAATCAATTACGGGGGAACAGGAACCTATTAAAAGGGGTTCTTCTGTGTATGTTGGGGTTGAAGGAGAGGAAAGGAAGTTGAGGAGGAGGAAAATGAACTGAATGATTTCAGGGGTGGGTGCTGGAGCTTAAAATTTTCATACCAGGCCAAGACCAGTTTGGCTCAACGGATAGAGCGTCGGCTTGGGGACTGAAGGGTCTCTGGTTCGATTCCGGTCAAGGGCATGTACATGGTTGCGGGCATATCCCCAGTAGGGGGTGTGCAAGAGGCAGCCGATCGATGGCTCTCTCTCATCGATGTTTCTAACTCTCTATCTCTCTCCCTTCTTCTCTGTACAAAATCAATAAAATATATTAAAAAAATAAAATAAAATAAAATTTATTTAAAAAAATTTTTTTACACCAGGATGAGGCAGAATTTAGCATATGTTCACTGCTGAGTTACAATGCCCCATCCAAATGGGCTCCTAACCCTGACTTCAGGATACTCCTTGGTGGCACGAATCCCTAACCTGCCCGGCCCCTCCTCCAAAGCAACTGCCTCCAGCTCTTGCTTAGACCTTGCTGTCCAGTTTCTGAACTATGGAAGATGGGCAACTTCACAAGGTCAATTTGCTGGGATCCCAGCACCAATACTCACCTCTCAGGGGCAGAGAGAAACTCAGCACGTAGTCAGTGGGGCCCTCATTGTCTTCAGTCCTAACTAACAGTACTATCCCATTCTGGACTCCAACTTACTATTTTGGAAGAATGTGGGAGTTCGGGGAGAGGGGAGGTAGGTAACCCTAGTTGATTTTTTCTTTTTTCCTTCTAATTTTTATTCTAGAATGTAAAGCTCATTTTAATTATAGTTGACATAAAATATTATATTAGTTTCAGGTGTACAACATAATTTGACACTTATATACCTTACTCATTGCTGAAAGGGCAAAGTTAATCACAATCCCCCAAATGTCACTTTAGCCCCTTCTCCTAGGCCCTACAAAAAAATACTTGGATGAAGCTGATCCTAAGGGATGCCTACCAGCAACACTCTGGAAGGGGAAAACTAAATACAGCTCAGAGGCCAGAGCAGGGACAGACCTTCAGGAAGCCAGACAGGTTCCCCCGCTATGTGGCTTCCAGAGGCTGGCCTACTCTCCTATGCATGATGCAACACTGCCACCTACTGCCCGTGTAGGAAGTATTCCCTAAGGCCCCTTATCTCAGGGGTCCCTCTACCATGGCTGCTGTGGCTGAATTGCTTGAGGTCTATGGTAAAGAGAAAACACTCCAAGGTGGGTAGATTGAGAATCAGGAAATTAGGTCTGTTAGGTATATAGAAGTTAAGGTTTGAGAACTGTTGGAAAAGTGTGGGAGCCAAGTCTTACAGCACTTGAGCTATCAGTGGAACAGCAGAAAATCATTGGTTGAATGGTATTTTGCTCCCAGAAACCTGATCCAATAGTTGCCATTCTCCGTAAGTGGAGGCCAATCATTCCAGGAACAAGCAGTGGCCTGTTAGCGAGCCATTACTAAGATAAGAGAGGGAAAATGGGAATAAATGAGTGCAAATCTGAGAGCTCTATTCCTTAGAGGAACAACCTTGACCTCTGCATGGTTCTCAACCAGGGGACGGACCACCAGTGAAGCCTTAGAAGCTAAGCAAGGATTTATATGAGGAGGCAAGGATTTATACCCTTGGGAGCCTGGTTGCTAGAACCCTGAGGCATGAAGGCCTTCCCAGCCCCTACCATTCCCAGACTTTTAACCAAGTTTTCTTGAATTGTTTCTGATGTGCACAAGCCTGAAGGAAGACACAGGGTAGAAGTTGAAGAAGAGACAGACCTGAGTATTCCCTCCCCTTGACCTTCCTGGTGTGGACTTCAGGGGAAATACCAGTACACCACAGGGGTCACTTTGATTTGAAGAGAAAGAAATCCCAGAAGCTAGACTGTCTGCAAAAGATTTCCTGCTTAATTTTACATGCTTAGGAGGTTAAAAAGAGTTCAGATGGCACAGTGGAGAAGGATCTGAGTGTGTGTGCTGTGGCAAGGTGGGGGGCCGCTGGTGATGATGGACAGGTGGGAAAGCGAAGGAGATGGACAGGAGGTGGCTGGGGGAAGTATGACAAAGAATGCTGTAATTGGAATCAAATCAGAACAATACTCTCCTCCGGGCAGACCATGAGACAGAAGAACACGGAAAGGTCAGAACAAGGGTCAGGTACCCACCATCAAAAGTCTGTCTCCCCAGGTTTGGGTTTTAACAATCCAAAGCAATTGTTTCTAAGAGCTCCCTCCTATATTCCTACTGGATCCTTCTCTAATCCCTCATAGGTCCCCATGTTGCTACCATGAGAGGAAGGGTAAGCAGAGTCACAGGTCTCAGTCTAGAAGGCAAGCACACAGCTTCCCTGGCAGATGAGTGCCACGAAGCCAGATCAGGCAGCACGAAGATGTCATCTGGGAAAAACGGTGGTGCTGCCAACTCTAGTCAGATAATCATCTCGTTATTTCTTCTATTTGGCCCCAGAATAAGGATTTCCTTAGCCCTTCTCTCAACCCCCACCTATTTACAGCCCAGCCTCTTCTCTCTCCCCTCCCCTCATGCTCTCTCCTATCCCAAAATAAAATAAAGCAAAACCACACAACTCTAGAGCCGGGGAATCCCAGCTTCCAAAGGAGAAATCACAGCCAAAGAGAGGGAGACAGTGAGTCCAACAGGGATGTTCCAGCAATATCCCATTGAAAGAGGCTCCATCCTTCCAGATTTCTTCCTCTGATCTGAAACTTATTTGCAGGCATTCAGCAACCTGAGAAGTCTTTAATCTGGACAGTTGTCAAGCACTGGAGCTGAGAAGCTCCATTCCCAGCCTGCCTCTGGCATGCTTCATGTGGGATTGGTTTCCCTGTCAATGTAATGGGAGTGGAAACATCCACGAATGTTGTGGATGATCCAAATTAATAAGATTTAAATGGCTCTGCATGTGCCTAGCCTTGTGTGAGGTTCTGTCCTAGAAGATGCAAAGGGATGATGCCAAATGGTAGAGTAGCAGATCTCATCCCCCAATCCCTTCCTTGAAACTCGTCCCCCCTTCCCAGTAAGGCACAAGAAATAGCTATTCCTACTCCCAATCTTTCCCTTGTTCTTCTGAGTGACTTTCCATGAAAACCAAGATCTGGGTATAATGGAAAATAATCATGGGTAATGTTCCCATTGTTGACTCTGACAAAAATTATAGAATTATATAGGTGCATTTTTTAGGTTCCTCTCACAATAACCAGGGCTGGAAAACAGGGTCCTGGCTTGTGCCCATCTTTTCCAGTGGACCCTGATGTCCCTAGGCTCACACATGACTGTTAGGGTCCCCAGTACCCAGCCAGGTAGTAGCTACCTACAAAGTTGCATGACTGCTCAAAGAAAAGGAAGCCAGTCCAGACCCAGAGTTTATGCCCACCTTGCTCCCTAGCCGTGACTCACTGCCCAGGCCCCTGCATCCTCATGAGGCTTTAAAGTTGCCTAGGAATCTCACACTGGACTTAGGGGAAGTAGAAGGGGACACCTCATCCCCAGGGACAAAGAATCAGAGGTCATCCCCTTTAAGGAAGAGTAGGAGAGGGGACCGGAGGTCTCCTAAGTGCCAGCATCATGTATAGACCAACAGATCAATACCAGGGACAGACGTTCATGTGGTTAGAGCTATTACTGCAGAGGAGGTCTGGAGTTCTGCTGTGATGGGGAAGAAAGGCTCTACTCAGCTTTCCCACCCCCACCCCCACCCTTCCTGGCTGGCCCTTCTTGGCTTTTCTGCTCTGTCCTCTTCCCCTCTGCACCCTTAGGTCTGACCCCATCCAAAATGAGGCCAGCCGCACCCCAAGGAGCCCAGGGATCCCAGGAGGGGCTGTTACCTGCAATGATGGTTGGGCTGCTCTGCCCTCCCTCCGGCTTCACCCAGGCTTCCACTGTGAACGCCTCCCGAGGAACCTCAGCCAGCACTTCTGAGCGAAGCAGCAGCCTCTCCCGCCTCCCTGAGAAGTACAAGACGGGCAGTCCTCCTCCGTGGGGGTTCGAGGTCTCTGCTTCCCAGTAGGGATTCCCTCTGCCATTCCGGATGCTGTCCTCTGAAGAACTGCTTCTGACCCCGTGCATAAGGGGACGCTTAGGCCAAGGGCGGAAATGCCCGAGAGAGACATCTGGGTCTTCCTGCACACCCTCTGCCAGCCCCTTCACCACCTGGCGGCGGTGCCTGGGCTTGGCCAGACCCTTCCTTCCAGTCTTCTGGTGTGCGAAAGTGGTGATGATGGTGGCAGCTGTAGCTGAACCTTCCTGAGTCCCAGCCTCACCTAGAGATGCCTTGGATCCTCGATTGTCAAGATAATTGTCATCATCATTTCCCAGCAGCTCCCGTTGCCCAATAGGACCATTCCCTACCCACGAGGCTGCCAGCTGCTCAGCCCCAGTCCTCACTGCTGCACCTGCAGTCTGATCTGGGGGAACACCACTCATAGCCATTCCCTCAGCAGCTGGCTTGCTGCGTCCTGCGTGGTGGATGCCCTGGTCCCCCACTGGGTAGGGTCTCAGGGAGCTGCCAGGCCTGCTGGGGTAGACCCCAAAGAGGTGATGCTGGGGAGAGGTTCTGGGTCTTCGAACCCTGGTCCCTAGCCAACAGCGTTCTCCCTTTGACAGCATCTCATTGAGGTGTCCCCTTTGAGCCAGGGATCTCTTATGTGTCCAGCCCAGCTCAGAGCTGGAAGTGCTGAGAGCCCACCCAGCCAGAACCAGCAGGCTTACTCTCAGGATCTGTAAGCACATCATACTTCTCCCAGCTCTTTACACAGATCCAGAAGGCAACCTCTGGGTACCACACCAGAAGGATGGGGCAGAAAAAGAGAAAGCCAGCAGTGGATTCACAGTCACCGGGGAAACTGTTTTGTTCACAAACCAAACTTTTTCAAGCAGCCCCAAAACAGTGCCTCTCCTGGCTACCTGCTCTGAGTGCCCTGCCAGCGTGGCCTCCGTGCCTCGCCTCACCTCTCTCCCTCACCTCTCTCCCTGCTCTAGTTCAGCCTTACAGGATGAAGTTCATTTCTCTGGGTTCCTTTGAATTTCCTCCAGAGAGCTCAGGTTTCTTTTTTCCCCCCCTTTCAATAGCCCCTCCCCTTGCTGATTCTAGAGGAGGGACACGTGGACAGGAGCCAAAGCCTCTCAAATACACACTCCCTCTCAAATACACACTCCCTCACAAACACAGGGCTCTCGCTACCTGAAGTCATTAAAAAGACCCTTCTCTCCTTTTCATCTTACTCTTTCTCAGGAGTTACCTTCTCTCTGTAGTCCTTACCCTAAAATACATTTGCCTCCAAACCAATGACCAGAAGAACTTGTTTGCAGAGACACAGAATATGATGCTTATTATCTAAAAGGGCAAAGAGAAGCTGGGTGCACAAAGATCCAAGCTGGTACTTAACTTGTACTCTCCAGATGTGTCCTCAGCCAGAGCCCAGCCAGCCTCCAGTCGGCCTTACAGGTCAGAATGCTTCCCTCAGCTCCGGGCTTGGGGTGGTGGAGTGCTGAAGGTTTTCTTTTTTCTTTTCTTTTTTTTAATCCCCTTCCAACTTGTTAGTATGTTGCAAGTCTCTGTAAAGTTCTCCTTTGGGGTGCCAGTCTGATGTCCTAATAACCTTATGAGTCTGAGAGCCCTGGACTTGACCTCCTGGGAGTCTCGTGAGTCCCTGGGAAAATGGACAAGAGAATAAGAAGGGCATAGACTTCAGGGGACCTGTTCACTCCAGTCCCTCCTGCTCCCCCATCTCCCTTCCACTCTGCCTGTAATCATCTTAGTGGTTGTTTCATTTAAAGGCAATGATGATGTCAAAGCTAATAAGTTCGGTTTATCACTCCACCCCCTGCCTGTCCCCTCCTTCCTCCTGAAAACCTCCCCACCTCACCGAGGCACAAGGGACAGAAACTACTCTCGGTTTACCCAAGAAACATCTCGGGCTTTCTCTCTCCGCAGCCACAGCCTACACAATCAATAGCCAACAATCAATACGGTGCTGGAGCACTCCTCTCTGTGTGCACGTGCACACGCACACATGAGTGTGCACAGACACACACACACACACACACACACACACACACTGTGCTGGGAGCAGACCTGCCTTGTAGGGGCCACTTGCATCTTTCTTTTGTTTTGCACAAACCTCCTGTATTTTTTTTTCTTGTTTCACTCACTCAGGATTTAAAACAAAATAACCCAAATTCACTTGAGCTTGCACCTTGGGAGAAAGAAGTATATCAATTCTCCTGCTGTAAGAAGCAGTAAGTGGAAATGCCATGGGAGTGTACTACATGGATCTTGTTATTCTCTCTGAAGTTTCTCACTCTGAAGTCACTAAAAGTCACCATATGCTGAGTGAGCAAATAAACAAATAAGATGTTCAAAATAAATAATTTGCAAAAATGAACAGCTAAACCCAAGCATTTTTTTTTCAATTAATTTGAGATGAATGGATAGGGACAGGGAAATAGTGTGATTTTAATCACTCTAATAATGTTTGCCTAAATGCAGGCTAATCTCAAGGAGTACCACCGCCCAAACGCATGTGAGTATTTACACACACACACACACACACACACACACACACACACACACACAAGCATACACACTCCAGGTTAGGGTGTGTGACCTCAGATGGGCACATAAGTAAAGAAATATATTGGGTCCTTCACTGAATAATAAGAGAAATCATTTAAATCTAAAATCACTGTTGTGTTGCCCCATATATAAAACACACAGCTTACATAGTTTGGAGTAAGATCATGCTGCCTCTTCTGCCTTGGGTCTCCTCATAGTCTTCTAAACTCCTCTACCCAAGCTAACCATTGACTGCTTTGCTTTGAGAAAACTGTACCCCAAATGCCCTATTAGGAGCATATCCTGCTTCCCTAGGCTGGGTCCACTGGAGCCTCAAAGCAAGTCCCCCAAGAATGTATCAATTCAGGCACGTGGACATAACTAAACAAACTACTGATCCTAGACTGTCATTCCTCTCACCTTTTCTACATTTCCTTTCACTCTCCTGACTCAGCCCTTAATTTCTTTATATCTTTCCTAAAGCAGCTCAATAAAGATTAGGGGTTTAAAAGGGGGTAGAAAGGATATTTAGAAAGAGTTAGAAAAGCAGAAGGAGGGGGGAGGGGAGAGGTGGGGGGAGGGAGGGAGAGAGAGAGAGAGAGAGAGAGAGAGAGAGAGAGAGAAGAAGAAGAAGAAGAAGAAGAAGAAGAAGAAGAAGAAGAAGAAGAAACAACAACCACAAAAGGAAAGTGAGGAACCTTAGTTTAAATGAAGGGAAGATACTCTAGTAAGAAAAGGAAAAGTAAACTTCCCCTCCCTCATGCCACCCCCACAACCCCCAGAAAAAGGTTTCCTACCATTCATTTCAGGAAGGAGAAATAACACAGCAAGGAAGAAGAGTCCCGCGTGCCTTGCTCCCCTGTCACTGTGGGAATGATCTGCATCCCTATAGGTCTCCTGGCTCTCAGCTGCTAAGGATCCATTCATAAGCTTTCAAGAAGCTACACAAAACTCAAGCTTCCAGTTTAGTTTTTCTCTCTCTCCCCTTCATTCCTTTGCTCACCACTCTCCTTCAGCTCTTGGCAGTCCAAAGTTTAAAAAAAAAATGTTGAACCATTTCTGTGTTTTCCTCCTGTTGTAACTTTTGCTGTGACATCATAACCCTGCCCACCAACACCCCACCTCTCGCTCTCCTTTCCATCCCACCCCTCATCAGCCCCATAACCCCCAAGATGCCCCCCACAGAGAAGCAGGGCTCCTGTCAGTTCCAACGTGTGAAAACACAAAGCCACTAGAAGGTGCCCCTCTCTCTCTCTCTTCGGTCCCCCTCCTCTCTTCCCCCTCCCTGCCTTACCCACTGCTCAGCCACGGCTCTCTGAAGGCTTTTAACATGATCCCATCTGTTTGACATGTGCAGAAAGGTGGGCTGAACTCAGATAATCTGTCAAGTGGATCAGATAAAAAAAACACAGCAACCCCCCCCCCTTCAATTCCAACACACACACACACATCAGACCCCACTGAAAGTGTAAGAGGAGTCAGATTCCTACAGCACCCACCCTAGATGCCAGGGAGAAAGCCACCAAATATGCCAAAGGAAACGCACATTCAATATATATATAAATTCTGGGGCTTATTTGTTTTTGACACACACCCGCACCCCAGTCCCCTATTCCTCTCCCCTAAGCCCTGCCACACGGCAAGTGCACAGATTTGAAAGCTGGTAGAATCTGTTTTGAAATCTCCAACCAGAGGGTTTTTCCCCCTTTTTTTTCACTCCCAAGCACTATCTGTGGCGATCAGACTGGAGCAGGGTTGCCAGCAAATGCAGGAGGCCCCTTCTAGGGTACAGGCTTTCAAACCAGCTAAGCTAGAGGGAATGGATTTAAGGACACACAGCAGGAGCTGGCTGAATTTGCTCTATTTTGACGGGGTAGTTGGGGGAGGAATATCATTTCTGAAATGCCCAAGGAATGAAAAGAGAGGATATGGATTTCTTAAACAGTTTTTGCAAGAGGAGCGGTGTCTTGTTCTGCAGGTAAATCTATAAGGCAAGAAACTGGAGCTTAGAGATAAACAAGGACCGAGAGAGAGGAAAGGAAGGGGAAGGAGGAAAAAAGAGAGGGGGTGAGGGAGAGGGGATGGGGAGATGGGGAAATGGAAAGAGGAGAGAGGGGAGGAGGACAGAAAGGGGGCGAGGGGGAAGGGGAGAAGGGAGAGAGGAAAGAGAAGGAGAAGGGGGGAAGGACGGAGGGAGAGGGGAGATGTGGGAAAAGAAAGGGTGAATTGGAAGGGGGAAGGGAGGAGGGAAAAGCGAGAAGAGAAATGTCTGGGAGGAAAAAGGACTAAAAAAGAAGAGCAGGGGAGAGAGAAGGGAATAATGGTACCGAGAGAAAGAAAAACAGAGAAGAAGGTGGTAGGCACGCAAAATATGGAGACCAGGAAGGCAGCTTAGACCCATTCTGCTTAACCATCCAGACATGGGGCATGTGACAAATAGCAGGAACAGCAGGGGTGGAAGGCCAGGGGGCACCCAGAGGCAGGTGAGTGGAGACATTATCGAATGGGGCAGAGGTTGGATTTTATAACAAAGAACACACACTGGAGGGGCTCACTGTTACTGACTGGACACATTTTTTAAAAATCAGATTGCCAGGGCTCTGCATGGTCTCTTTAAGTAAACCCCTCTTCCCTCTTCCTTTCCTGCCTTTGTCTCTTCCTCCACTAGCCACCTTCACACCTTCCTTCATTCACTCACGATTTGTTCCTAGCAATATCTTCCCTAAGCTAAAATTTAGACACCCCCTACCCACCCCCTAAAAAACAACAACAAAACACCATAATAATCCCTTTCTTTGCTTCTCCATGGAGGGTCCTGGGTCTTCTTATCTGAAAATTGAGCTGTTTGTGATAATCTGCACTTATAATATATTTGCCAAAACGTCAGAGCTGTTTTGCTTGCATCTGCTGTCATAGGAGGGCTGGTTAGCTCCCACTAGCACTGTCACCATTACCATCAAGAGTCTTTGAACAAAGGGAGGAGCTAGTTCAGTTAGTGTTCACCTGCAGTACAGAGCTTTGAAATGGGGAGTGTGGAGGGGGGGAGACCCCTGAATATGGTAATGGATCCTCTCTGACTTTTTAATTCCAAAAATCTGATCCCTTGAGGGAAAAGCTCAGCTGGGAGCCGGCCAGGGAGTGTAGTAATAAAAGCCTCCCAGAACACAACCAAATGCAG